AGAACAATAACGGCAGGAGGATGAGGCTGCCGAAAAAAAAATATTAAAAGAAGCTAGGGTTATGAAGCCTGCTCTGTATACCATGTAGAAAAGGATGTATAGGGTAAAAGTATATTTCATTGATACGTGAATAAGAAATATATACAAGTACATTCCTTGCTCTACAAGGCATAATCCCTACAAACTAGGAATACAATCACAATTAGGATTACAATCATATCTATTACTTTGACTAGGATTCTATTGTCTAACATATACGGCCTCAGATATGGTGTGACAATGTGTCTTCCATAGCTCTTGCTTCGAATCATGTGTTTCATTCACGAACTAAGCATTTAGAGGTTGATTATCACTACGTCAGGGAGAAAGTAGTTCGTGGTGAACTGTTGGTTAATTACATTTGTTCTCAAGATCAGCTTGCAGATATATTTACTAAAGGTCTGTCTTCGTCTAGATTCAAGATGTTGGTGTCCAAGCTTCCTGTTGTTCCTCAACCTGTCAGCTTGCGGGGGGTGTTAGACGAAGTCAAGGTCCAGCGTGCTTGCCGAGTTTTGAGGAGTTGTGATATTTATCAAACTCTTATCCTATTCTGATACTCCTAGTTTCTAGGGATTTGTATTTCAAATATTTGTTGTACGCAAAGTTCGGTTTGTAATCTTTACGCTTCTGTTTGTATTTTTGAAAATTGCTTGTATTTAGGGTTTTCAAACTTCCATTGTAATCCTGAAGTTGTTATAAATACATGCAACCCATTGTTGATTGGGTATGCAACTGAAGTGAAACCTCAAGTGTGTTATAGTTTTACAGATACATCAGGCTGTTTCGTGGCTGCTAAGTGCGGTGGTTTCGCTGACCTCTTCTCACCCCTTCAATCGGAAGCTATGGCCGTTAGAGTTGGCTTGATCTGGGCGCTCGAAAAGGGTTTTTCTAATATCCTATGTGAATATGATTCGCTTCATATTGTCGAAGCTTTGAGAGATCCCTCGGTTAACTTGTCGCATCTTGGCTAGTTAATTGAGGACATCAAATCGCTGGCTCCGGCAGTCATTGAAGCTCCCATCACCCACGTTCGCTGTCAAGCCAATTCAGCGGCCCATATATTAGCTCGTCTTGGTCTTTCTATGGAACAATGTGATGAATGGATAGGATCTCCCCCTAGTATAATCACTGATATACTAGTTGCGGATACTTCCCCTATTGTATAGTTCCTCTTGTTACTCCGTTTCACAGTTTTATGAATGAAATCCACTATCCTTTCCTTCCAAAAATAAAAATAAAAAATCACATGCCATCTCCCATTAGACGCACAGTGCTTCCATTATCTTTTGTAGTTCGATTAATTGATTACCAGGGCAAATCAGTCTCATGATCTCTGTTGCCGCCACCCAAAAGGTCAAATTTAGATAATCTCACTCTTTCTTGAGATTAATTTCAGTTTTCTTTGGACCGAGTCTCAACTATCATATGCTTTATACCCTTTATTCGGCGTTTTTCCCTGCTTTTACGTTCTTTTAATTTCCCTCGCTCCCTCCTCAATTGTGATACTTTATCTCCATCCCACCATGTGCTCGGTCTCCGATCAGAAATTGGATATCAGATCCATTTCCCTCCCTCACTTCCCCTCCCTCAATTGTCATGCCGAATTCTCATCGAGACCAAGTGTTGGGTATTTTACTTCCTTAGCCTCACCTTATTCTCATATGTTACTTTGTTTGTATATATTACTTCGTTTCCAGTACTGATAGTGAGAAATTTTTTTATTACTATTTGTTTACAAATATCCATTTTGGCATATGGATAACAAAGGAAAAGAAAAAATATGGAGAGAATATTTTATCACCAAACCAATGAGTGGGGGAAAAGGGGCGGATCTATTAGATGGTAAGGGTGGAGAAATTTTTCAATGTGATCGATATATAGAATGGTACATCACTTGTTATTATACAAATAGTAGAATATGTGTGTTAAAAAGTTAATAACTAAAAAATAAAAATTTTCACCATTTATATAAAAACATGTGATGTACCCTTTATGTTCCGGTCACAATGAAAAATTCTTTCAAGGGTGACCGGGGATTGACATGTTGAGGGAAAAATGACATACTACCATTGGCTAAATTCCAAATTGTTATGACACCCACAATTCATATAGACATCAGTAACATATAAATATTGTTTTACAAAGTGCAAGTTGTTGCTTCGCAGTTTGCAATGGATATATTTACCTCCCAGCCAATTTACCGGCATCTAAACGTAGATATTCTTGCATTACCAACTTTTCCATCCGCCATTTGAGTTCTTATATGGGGCTATATACATTAAGTATTTGGTGAGTCCTGTACTTTAGGGATTAATTTTCCGACCCATTGAAGGGGGTGTATTCAATTCAGATTTTGAGGGATTTTAATTGTTTTGATGAATCTATGGGTATTCAATCAGAATTTTAAGTTATTCTCTGAAATTCAAGGTGTATTCAATTATAATTTTAAGATAATTTATAAAATTCTTAGAAATCCAGATGTATTCAATTAGGATTTTAAAGAAATTTATAACATTCAAGGTGTATTCAATTAGAAATTGGTTTTAAAGAATTTGAGAAAGTTGAGGAATTAGAGAGAATTGGAGAGATTTCGTAGTGTATTTTAAGCATATACAAATCTCATCTCTCCCCATGAGATTTTGAGGGAATTGAATCAAAATTTTATATGTAATATCTACAAATCAATTAAACTCATAAAAATCCATGGATTTATAAATGAGTAATGATATTCATATCATGTTTTTATACCACATTTCTATACCACCTTAGGTGACATCTGATGTGGACAACCACATCATTTGAAAAATTTGCAAAACACAAGGAAAGGAAGAAGAAAGACTCCTCATACCACAATCATAATTTAATTAACTAGTTTTTCTTAATTATTAGGTTATTAAATAATGAACTATATTTAAAAATCTGATTAATTCAAATAATGTGGCTGTCCACATCATATAAGATGATATGAAAATGTGGTACAAAACATGGTATGAATAGCATTACTCTTTATAAATCCATTAAAGTATTTCAAATTCTCAATTGAATACATCCTATGAAGATTCATTTTATGTCTATATTTGTTTTATACTCATTTTATCAGTGCTTGTCCCTATTTAAAGACTCTATTAGAGATGCTCTCGGAACTTCAGAAGTTCAAAATTAAAAAATGGATTTGCCTCCTTCCAAACACATAAACCAAACAGCCTCCAGCAAAAGACAATATGATAGATTATAAAATTTTATTCAACATTCCCTGTGCATGGTTTTGTTATTTTCTGTAAACGATTTTATTTATTTAATCTGAATTTCAGTAGAAAACAGTCAGATAATGTATATCCTTATAGAGAAATAAGGACAAGATCAGGTCAACCATATCCCGTGCCAAATCAGCCGACTGTAGCTCAACCAAGAAATCCGAGTCCACGATCGACCACCCCATTACTGTAAGTTTGTAACCAAGAAATGTGAAGAAAAAAAAAGCATTTACATTAACAATGTAGGGTGAGGATGATTTGCACTACCAGGGCTCCATGCATCATACACCACATAATTAAGCAACATTTGATGTCCACATTAAAGGTTGTTGGACTGAAAATTTTTAGCCTAGCCAACCCAAACCTACAGGCTGGACGGGGTTTTATTTTGGTCGGACCATCCGTTGGACAAGTATGTTCTAGCCAATACAATGCTGGGTGTAGATCAAACTTTAAATATATTTCTTTAAATAAATCAAAACCTACTGAAAATTGTCTTATGGTTTACTAGCTATATAATATGCCATTCCTCATGTGGTGCCTCCAAACTTCAATTTCATGTTCAATTCATGAAAAAAAAAAAAACAAGTTTTTATCATTAACATGTGTGACAGTAGGTTTGGGAGCTTGAAGAACATGATTCTAGGGATGAAGATTAGGCCATCTCCAATCGATGGCTGGCCAGATGACTCGTTTTAGCCCTCTGACCCTCCAAGATTCTCCAAGATATTAATATTTTAATGAACAGTACACGGCCATATTTGCCTCCGTCTCCAACCGAGGGCCAGAGGGCTCGTTTTAGCCCTGTCACAAAAAACCATCTACAACCGAGGGCCATAGGGCCAAACATAATTTATTATTTAAAAACTACAACTTAAATTTTGTGAAATAGAAGTTATAGGAAAAAAATGGAATTTAAAAAAAATATGAAACAAATTTTGTGAAATAGAAGTTATAGGAAAAAAATGGAATTTAAAAAAAATATAAACCAAATTTTGTACAATATAAGTTATAGGAAAAAAAATAGAAGTTATATGAAAAATTTTGTAAATAAAAAATAATAATAAAACTGTAAAAAAAAAAAAATCAAATGCAACGGCTAGCCCAAAATTTTAAACAAACAAACAAATAGATTCCCAGTAACCCCAAAATTACTAAAGGAATAATCGTAAGGTCTCTAGGCTCAAATCACCTCCCTGTTCGTTCTTTCCTGACTTTCTAAAGCATGCTACTGCCCCCTTTTGTTTTTATTCTTTTGTATTGGTTACATTTGATTACTCCTTCGACCTTTGTGTGGGTTTGCTTATTAAATCCTCTTCAGTCAATAACAAGGCTTTGCCCAACTTTGCATGTACGTAGGAATATGATACCAATATTAAGTAGAGGTTGCGTGTCCTGTTGATCCGTAATATTCGAGGAAAAGCAGCCCATACACCTCTTCACTTTTAAGTAGCTTCCCTTCCCACCCTCCCCCATTTTCTTCTTATTAGTTTGCGAATGCAAGCCTTTATTTCATATCATTGCTTATTTGCTTACTTACAAGAGTTTAATAACTAACTAGCTGCAGTTTGTTGGCTTCCATTCCTTTCAATTCGTAAGTAGTATTTAGACTACTTTAATTTCATTGCTAATTTTTTGTTTGTTTAGATAATACGTATGATATATGATATGATACTCCAATGAATCATAGGTTGAACATGGCACAAGGTGTTTGGCAGAACATGCCACAACGTGTTAGGGAGCCATCATTACATCCATCGGTGCCCAATACAAGCACAGGGCCACAAAGTGTGTTGGAGCCATCATTACATCCATCAGTAGTGCCCGATACAAGCACAGGGCCACAAGGTGTGTCGGAGCCATCATTACATCCATCAGTGCCTAATACAAGCACAGGGCCATCAGTGCCCAATACAAGCACAGGGCCACAAGGTGTGTCGGAGCCATCATTACATCCATTAGTGCCCAATACAAGCACAGGGTCGTCAGTGCCCAATACAAGCACAGGGCCACAAGGTGTGTCGGAGCCATCATTACATCCATCAGTGCCTAATACAAGCACAGGGCCATCAGTGCCCAATACAAGCACAGGGCCACAAGGTGTGTCGGAGCCATCATTACATCCATCAGTGCCCAATACAAGCACAGGGTCATCAGTGCCCAATACAAGCACAGGGCCACAAGGTGCGTCTCTCCTTGCCAAAAGACAAAAAATAATAATCATTTCCTATTTCATTATCTAATTAAATAATCGTCTATACTTTTTTCTTTAGAAAATGCTATAATACTATATTGGATATGTTAGAGAAATTAATTTTTTAATTAAATTTGCAAACTAAATTATGTGTCATAAATAGAAAATAAGTACATTAATCAATACTTAATAATAATCTAACCTTCAACATCCAAATCATTTAGTGTACAAATTTGGTCTCCCTAGCAGTACCCTACTATATTTTTAGACCATGTTTGTGTATCATCTAGTGTTTAAAAATATTGATATCAGTGGAAGATCAATATAAAAATTTATAGAAATATCGATGGATGTATCGATATCGGTTGCCTTCAATGAAAATGATGAAAATTTGTTCCAAAATATGAAAATTTAAAATGATGAGCATTGTTGTAAAATGCAAATCATCTCAAGGACATATAATGTCTAATTTTACCATAAATTTCATATATTTGTAACCATATTCATGTGCATTTAGCATTATTTTTTATTGTTTGAAGGCTTTTTAGCCAAAATGGTCATGGAGATTTGCATAACTCCTCATTTTGGTCCCTGAGATTTGAAATCGATAGAATTGGTCCCTAAATTTATCCACAAACAATTAGTTTGGTCATTCTGTGAAAAATCTCCATAAAATAAGGATAAAATGATGATGGACAATTTCAGGGACTCACTTCCTTTGATTTCAAATCTCAGGGATCAAAGTTTGCAAATCTCAAGGCTCATTTTGGCTAAAAATCCTTGTTTGAACATATTTAAACTGTGTATATAATTAATGGCATGAATGATTTCTTGGTTTTCTTTGTGATTAAATTTCAGTGCTCTATTTTCCTAACAGTTTGGATTGTTAATCACAATGATCCCATATAATTTTTCTAGTTGTCATATAATTTCATATAACTTGATTAAAAAGTTAAATAACAAGGAACCCATAACATTATCTTCCATCGTTTCTATGATTGAAGTTTTTAACTACAGAAATGTTCAGCATAAAACTAAACAAGTATGGGGTAATTAATAATAACAAAACATGATAAATTTTGACAGGACATGAATATAGTCAGTACAAACCTTTCTTTGAGGCTGTGCAAGCTGGTCGCTGGGAAACTGCAAAGGACTTTTACATCCAACATCCAGAGGCAGTAAGAGTAAGACATCCATTTTATGGGAAGACAGCTCTTCACATTGCAGTTGAAGCTGGGCATGTGGATATTGTCAAAGAATTGGTGTCGTTGATGGATGAGGACGACTTGGAAATAAAATCAGTAGGTCGGACAGCTCTTGCTATTGCTGCAACTAAAGGGATTATCGAAATGGCTCAATGCATGGTAACAAAGAACCAAAAATTACTCAGCATTCCCAATGCTTTCAACGATCTTCCAATTGTGCAAGCTTATTTGGACGGTGAATGGCATATGGCTCGATATCTCTACTCCGTCACTCCACTTGAAGATTTAATGCCAGCCAAAGGACCTCATGGCGCTTCAATAATCTCCGTTTGTTTTTCAGCTAAAGAATTTGGTAAAAAAATTTAAATATGAGTGATAACATGCTGTTGAGGACTACAAAAATGAAAATTAAGAATTCGTTTGATAATCATTTCAGTTGTTTGGTAAATTACTTTCAAATTTCAAAAAAAAAAAATGAAAAAAAATGAAAACTGAAATTAAAAGTTAGAAAAACTATAAAAAAAACAGTAGCCTTCAATTTTTATTTTTTTGAAACTTGAAAACTAAATATAGTTATCTAACAAGTTTTTGGTTTTCAAAGTAAAAAGGTGATTACAAAAACTGAAAATAAAATGGTTATCAATTCACAACTTGAAAAATAAATAGCTTATTCTAGCTACAGTTTACTCTTTTTTCCCATAGTTACAAATTACTATAGCAAACTAATTATTTCTGGAAATTTCGTAACATTAAAAATAAACAGATGTCTCATGGGATTTAATTCAACGTTGCCCAAAATTGGCCGTTACTATGAACCGCCTATTGCTCACCCCTTTAGAAGCTTTGGCATCGAACCCTTCATTCCTGAGCGGTGCGGAGCTCAATTTCTGGCAACAATGGGTTTATGACTGTTAGTGTACCACATACTCCCTTCTCTTTCTCTTAATTATTTGCTTTCACTTTTATATGACATATTTTCTTGTCTTGATAGGTCTATATATACAACCTCCTCCTCGCATCAATCATATCTGTGTAACTGTTCAAAATGAAGAAAATCCCCAAGCTAATAACGGAGGGAGTTTATTTCGCTCAGGTTTGTTATCCCCTTCCTCTCCCATCATTAACAAGCTAAAAATGTTGTATAAATGGTACGATCTAATTTGGGTTATCCACTTCAAATTCCTGCTTAACTTTAACCAAGGGAATATATGATATTTCTCTTTATTCGTACGTACGAGGTCTCAATTACAACTCACATAGATGACAAATTTGCCACTTAATTACCGTTTTCCCTGTTTGACTTGACTATTTATAGACATGAACTCTAGTAGGCAACCGGGAGGGCAATTGTAGTCCATAATAGACAAAGCCTAATCCTACCTAAAATAGGACTCCAAGAATATTTATAATTTAGGAGATAAGCATTCCTTGAATTCTCAAAAATTCCTTACTTCTAAAATTCAGGGTTTGCTTAGAGAATTCACACAATAAAACCCAAGTATGAAAAATTCCTTACTTCTAAAATTCAGGGTTTGCTTAGAGAATTCACACAATAAAACCCAAGTATGAAAAATTCCTTACTTCTTCCTTCCTCGACCTGGCAGCACTTGGGCTGCTGGCGAATTTATCATGTCATGATTACCCTTTTGGACTTTATAGCACATACTGACTGGAGAAGATGATTGCATGATTTGGATTCACCACGCCACAATCATCTTTCGAAAATATTGATCGCACATGCGACTTTACTAGGTTATGATCCCATATGTAGTGATCTCTTAATACGAATATACTAAGTCAACATCACATGCACTTCATTGCTACATGATGCATAATTATTCATGCATATAGTCATCGCACAATATGGATTTACATGTATGGTGTCATGTATTCCAATGCTACACGGTGCAGACTTACTATTACCTAACCTTGTGACACTATGTTATTGACCCTCTAGCTCTCAGTTCACAAACAATTGAAATACGCATAGATATCTCATTTCACCACAAAAAATATAGCCACTGTGCACAAAAAATTATTTGTGCCCTATGAGGTCAAAGGGCACCAATGTATGTGCCATATATCAATAGTAACAGTGCAGCAACTAAACTATTATACATGCCCTCTATGGGTGTGCCATTTGATGAGAGGGCACGATATGGCTATTTGCGCTCAAAGAGTTAAGCACAAATAGGCAACCTATTTGCACCTTAATTTTGACAACCATGCTAGATGACAGAACCATATGCACAACTTTCAAATCGTGACCAATAGGCGCACCTCGGTTTCTGTTCTTGATAGATCAATCACATGTGAAACTCAAACAAGAAATCAACATTATAAATTAAAGAAAAATTGTTCAGCCCAAACAATCTCTAAGCTTAGTAAAGTTTATTTGTGCACAGAGAAATTGATATAGTTTATTAGTGTGCACAGAGAAATTGTCTGGCCAAAACAATCTCTAAGATAATCATACTGCATTAAAATGAAGTTATATCAATACCTGAGAAGAGAGGCCGATCATAAGCTTCAGGAACCTGTGAAAAAAGGAAAATAACAATAATGAATTTGAATTTACTACAATTTTCTCTAAGACCCTGCTTCCTATGAATAAGTAGTCTACTTAAAAATTCAATCCTCATCATTAGCTGTTTAACCCATTAAAAAAATAAAAACTTAAATTAAGAAACAGTTGAAAAGATATGATATCGACACCCTCAGCAAAAGTAAGGCCAAATCCCTTCGAAGAGATATGATATCAACTACCACATATTCCAGTGATGTTAAGGGCCAAAACAAAACCAAAAAAAAAATAAAAAGTGCATTACTACCAAGAAAACTCAATGCATTACTCGCAGGCGTTGGACCACATTCCCTTCTTGCCTATAACTTTTAAGAGTCCCACAACTTGAAAAATAAAGCTTTTACAGGACAAAGTCGAAAGAAAACGCGATGAGCTAATTAAGAACAATATATTGAAAATAGATAAAGAACTTACCTCTCTGTGGAACATCTTCGTCAGCTTTCACCTTCGCTCCACCTGCATATAAACATATATATATATGTATATATATGTATGTATGTATATATATATATATACAAGCATCAAATCAATGTTCACACTCTTAGCATCTAGTTAGAACAATAATTACACCAAGAAAACTTGACTCTTCAACAATCCAATTGATGTGTTGCAATCTATACAACCAGTGACAGATTAAAATAGCAAAACAACAAAAAAAAATCCTAAATCAAATTGAAGTAGTGTAAAATCGAGATTGAAAATGCGGAAATACCCAAAACTCGCGCTACAACCACCGGCACGATCGACTTCATCACCAGCTCTGGCCTCATCACACCCATCGTCGCCACTCCAACTCCGGTCTTCATCGTCCTGTATGCCGCTCCCATACCTGCAAAACACACAAAACAAAAGCTGATCAAAATTAAGGAAATTCGGCTACGAATTTGTAGAAACTAACCTGTGGTTTGGAAAGAGGACGGAAAGAGATTCTGGAGATATCATTTGACGGTCGTTGGTGACCGCTGGACGACAGCTCCGTTGCGTGAAAGAGAAGAGGGAGCGAGGATACGGCAGGGAGGAGCGACGAAGGGGGGAGGACAGAGAGGATAAATAACCTTTTTTTTTTTATTGAGAATTGTTATTACCATTCTTAAAAAACTTATTTGGCATTCAAAACTTTTTATAATTACTAAAAAATACACTTATGAAAAGTGCAAAATTTTTAGAGTTTTCTTTTTTATTTTTCATATTTTTTTAAATTGTAGTTTACACAAACGGCATGATATCTTTATGAGCAAACTACCGTTTGACCCCTGAACTATTATACCATTTAAAATTGATCCCATGAATTATTTTTATGGTAAATTAACCCCTAGCTATTTTAAATAAGTCAATTAAGGAAAGGGATCATCTCCGGATCCCTTCCTTCTAATCCACTAAGTCCGGGGATCCAGACCATTGAAATTTGATTTAACGACTACAAACAAGGACCTACTTTAAAAGTTATTGATCCAACGTCCAAAATTATTATAACTTTTAAAGTGGGCCCTGTTTGTAGCTGTTAGATCAAATTTCAATGGTCCGGATCTCCAGACTTGATGGATTAGGAGGAATGGATCTGAAGATGATTCATTTCCGTCAATTAACCTCTTACCATTAGATTTTAAAAATTAAAAAAAAATCATCTACTCTGCCATTAAATTTGAGGGTAAAATTGTCTTTTTATTTGTCATCCCCTTTATCTCTTCTACCCTAAAATCTAACTGTTAAGAAGACAAATTTACCTTCAAATCTAACAACAAAGTAGATGAATTTTTTCAAATCTAAAGGTGAGAGGTTAATTGGCTGATTTAAAATAGTTTTGGGGTTAATTTACCAAAAAAAATCCAGGGGTCAAACAGCAATTTATCTATATTTTTATACATGCCATATGAAATGTAAAAAGTGCACAGTGCAGATAATTCAAAAAGTAATTTTATTTAAATAATACTAAATATTAGGGCACAAAAATTACATATTATTTAAATATACTAAATGTTAGGTCGCTATTTAATATTATAGTTTAGTGGTATTTGTCTTGACTTGTAAGTTATAGGTATGAGTTTAATTATCCTTAAATGCGACTTTGAACCACATTATTGCTAACTTATTATGAGGCTTAACGCACTCCCCTACTTTCTTAGTGTAGTTAATATTTTTTGTTCAAAAAAATAAAATTAAAAAAAAAGCTAGGTCAAAAAAACTAACTTTTATTTAAATATACTAAATTAAAGAGCACAAAACTCCGTACTTTATCATGAGGTTGGAGTTGTAGAGACTCCTGGTTCGTGAAAAAAAAATTGGGCTTCATCATTTCTTGAAAAATTGCCCAGGGAAGTTTGGAGATAGAAGAGAAGTTTGTAATAGTGTGTATCAACCATGAGAAACATACATGTTATTGCTAGCTTCTGTAAAGTGTAAACACAATAAAGCCATTTTTGTCACACGTTTTATAATATTTAATTAATACAGTTTCATTATTATATTCACATACTTCAAATTACTTCTTTTACATTTTTTTAATTTTTTAATATTTTCTACACACCACTAACAACTGATAGAAAAATATTAAAAAATTGAAAGAATGTAGAAAAAGTAATTTAGAATGTGTGAATATAATCTCCTTTTCCATTATGCAAGTTCCATTAGATCGGTCGTACATCTAACAACATGCTCCATAAGTTTCACCAACATTTTTTCCATTGCAGTGGGAGGTTTAGTGGAACGGCTTGTTTCCCATTCAGAAAAACAAAAGGAAGGGCTTGTTTCGAAAATCGTTCAGATACTTGGTATGCTAGTCACAATTTCATTTGTTGTAGATTTGAATTCAAATCAATTATCCAAATCAGTTTATGTCATAAACATTTGGGTTTAAAATGTCAACTCAGGAATCAAACGCATATATGAAATGAAGATTGTCCATGTCAACTTACTTGCATTTTTAAAGCTCATCTGCGAAGAGATAAATAAAGATTTCGATATGCAACAAATGAGTTATCCCTCTGTGAGGTCGGCAATCTTCCTAGCTGTTAGGAAGGGGAACGTGGAGTTTGTTACTCATATGTGTAAAGCAAATCCTGAACTTCTGATGTTAGTAAATGACAGGGCAAGGGGCATATTTCACGTTGCCATCGAATGTCGTCAAGAAAAGATTTATAACCTTATATACGGGATCTCTACTAAAGACTCTATCGCAAATTCAGCCGATGGGGATAGTAATAACATGCTGCATATCGCTGGGTTGTTGTCCCCATCTGCACAGCTTAATCAAATTCCAGGTGCAGCATTGCAGATGCAGCGTGAACTACAATGGTACAAGGTTAGATTTTCTCACCCAGCATAGTTCTTAATTACTTTGCCCATCTTACAATACTTACACAATCTAAAATAAGTTGTAAAATTAACACAATCTTAAAGCCTATAATGCGTAAATTTTAAATTGAAACATCGTGACCAATTTTGAATACCATGTTCAGATCTTGGAGTGTAAAATGTAGTTAACCATAATATAACAAAGATTATAGAAAATTATATTTTATACTCTCATATGTCAGTAGTTGTTCAATGCAATGCAGGAAGTAGAGACTATTGTACCTCCTAAGTGTCTTGAGTTTATGAACAGCGGTGAAAATTTGAAACCAAGGGAACTATTTACAAAGAATCACAGTGAATTGCTAAAGGAAGGAGAAAAATGGATGAAAGAGACGGCAACTTCTTACACTGTTGTAGGTGCTCTTATTATCACCATCATGTTTGCCGCAGTAATCACAATTCCTGGAGGAAATGGAGATACCGGTTTTCCCACATTCAACCATGAAAAATTGTTTATGTTATTTATAATTTCAGATGCTATATCACTCTTTTCTTCCACGACTGCAACATTGACGTTTCTCGGAATTCTCACGTCACGTTTCGCAGAAGATGATTTCTTGAAATCCTTACCCACAAAAATAATAATTGGTCTTGCCACTCTCTTTTTGGCTATTGCAACCATGATGATTGCATTTTCCGCTGCCCTTCTAATTATAGTTCGTGGACATTCTTGGATTGTGATTCCGGCCATCCTTCTTTCAAGTGTTCCTGTCACTTTATTTGCTTGGATGCAATTCCCCCTCCTAGTTAGAATTATCGTTTCTACTTACGGAAAAGGAATATTTAATAGGAATGTGAAACGTTGGTTGTAAAGGTTTTTCATTATTTTATATTTCTTATTGTATCTGTTTATGTGAGATTCCAAAATTAGAGGTGTAACTGATTCGATGAATTATATATTAAGGAATAAATTGGTGGTATATGTAGAACATCTCATTTACAAATGAAGAGGAACACCACTAAACTGTATTACTAAATGATATCTTGTTTTAGTGTATTGCCTGATTCGTTTTTATTGTATGATGAATGATTTGATTGTAGTTACTACATTACAGGTTCGAATAAGAACCACACAAGGCACCCAACAGGATGAACACATGAACTAATCATTCAGATTATCCCATCATCCTTAATATATAATCCATAAATGAAAGTTTAAGCACTATGATGTTGAACATAGATCTATCAATCACAATATGAACTGAAAGTTTTTTCAACCTGATGCACCCGACGATAGATCTTGTCTCAACCTCTAATGTCACAGACAGTAGAGGTTTAACCATATAATGCACGCCATGGCTCCCGATCGTCTTTTGATTTTCTTGTTGGATTCCACGTGATCTTGTCTCTTGAAAAGGAAAGGTTCAAAGTGCTTGCTAAAAGTTCTCCAATCTCATAAAGTATCTGAAAAAAATCCATCTAGAGTTAGACGATATACATACACTCGGGAAACAGAAAGATTCATAGAGAACTAAAAGGAAGAGAAAAGAGAAAGAAACCGAGCGTACACTAATTTTTTTCCCATTCATTTCTCAAGCAAATCATAGAAATAAAAATTACTATCATATCATGGCCTCCAAACCCAACTGAATGTTGACAGTTGCATTAGATAAAGTAATTTAAAAAAAAAAAAAACTGTATACCTGAAACTCTTCTTTATCAGAAATGCGTTGGCCTCTTTGCCCGATAAGAACATATGTTGGCAACTTCAAAACACGGACCAACTGAAGAAAGCAAGCCAAAGGTTCATGATGAATCCGCAAGGATGGCGGTGGCTTCTGGGTTTCGGTTGCCATAGCCTTGCTTATGCTTGTTTCTGAACCAATCTCTATACCATAAAGTGAATATTTGTTTTCAAATTTTGTTGCAGATTTACTTTCCCCCTTTAGCTTGGATGACTCTAGGAAAAACGGGGCAACGACTGTAGGAACTGAGGATGAATTCCGCCCTGCTAATTCTCCTAGAACTTCATTAATAGCGCAGGCTAGTATTGGCGGTTCAGAGTATTCCATAAGCAGCACAGACACCTGAAATATACAAAATTGAAGAGAAATTTTTTTGAAGTTCCCCTAATCTGTTATCTTCAAGATATGTTAGAAGATAAATAAAATAGTTATTCACTCTGTCCTAGTAACTCAAGCTGTTGGAAATAGTAATAAACCGACAAACTCAACACAATATCAAAAGCTGTTGGCTCACATCCTAACAACTAAAGCATTTCAGAGCAGTGGTAGATCGATAAACTTTATGAAAAACAGAAAACTGCATAAAAAAATAATGTGGAACCTTCCACTGTTATGGTCACAGCATGAGTTCTGAAACACAAAGGAACAAAACTTTTACAAAGTAATTTAATGGGTTTCTACTACTATGGGCATAGAAACCAAATCTACAAGAATTCTTCGAAAAACGCCTGCAATCAAGTCCCTTTAGATCTCACAGATCACTCACAATTCCATAACACCGAGTCGATTTTATACCCCACATGGTTTTGAAAAACCAGCATCATTTTCAATTTCAATCACACACAATCTAAACCCCAAATTGTCACAAATTTCACTTTCACCATAAAAACCAGAGCACATTCCATTAGAAAATACACGACCCATTTCTCAACACCCAAATCCCACATAGAATCTATACGAATACAAACCCGTTTCTGGGTCCTAAACAATACCATGAGGGAGAGAGGAAGAGAGAGAAGGGGAACCTCATATAGGCCCTGGTGATCGAGGAAGTGGCGAAGGATTCCAGAAGCTTTGCAATTTTGGATTCCATAGCGCTCCAATGAAAGCTCGAAACTTTCTTCTCTGCAACAATTTGGAGCACCGAAATCAATCGATATAATATGAACTTGATCTCAAACTTAAAAGGGTTGATAGGAAGATATCTTACATAGTCGAATTGCTTGGATTTGGGCGGAAAGCAGCTGAGATGGCTTCGCCGAAGCCCTCTGAGTCTCTCAGCAGAAACACTACCTTCGAACCAACCTTCATTTTCTTTTCTTTCTGCTGTTTCTTCTAACCAATGCCCGGAGGTGCGCGCACTTGCAATATAGAGGAGATCGAGTGCCGCTCATTTTTTTTTCTTTTTTCTCTATTTTATTTTTTGGTGGAGTTTAAATAATAAAATTAAAAGGAAACTAATGAAAATGGCTTGAAAACTTTGAGTTTTAATGATAAAGATAAAATGAAGGGTAAAGTGAATAGTACTAGGATTGACTTTTTAGTGTAAAAATGTGTTTTTTCGTTAAAGTGAACAGTACCGGGTGCTTTTCGTTAAAGTTCCCAAAATTAAAATCCTACCTAAAAAAAAAAATCAATGGCATTTGTTTTGTTTTTTTAGTATGTCGATATTTTTACACTAAATAGAGGGAAAGTTCGGTTAAGTCACACAATGGCAGCCTAATTTGGTATTGAATTCGTCATTCACAAGATTTGAACATAAGACCTCTTACTTCCAAGTTACTTCTAAGTGAAGAGGAATATCACCAGATCGTGGTACTAAGTGGCTAAATCAATGGCATTTGTTTTTTCTTTTTTTATAGAGTAAGGTTTATGACTTGCCTTTGATTATTCATTTCCCATTCGAAACTAAAAATTTGTCACTTAATCCTTGAAAGTCACATAACCCAACTTAATTAGATTGTAGATAGAGTATATGAAAAGAAGACCAATTGAGATAGAATTCAGCTTGTAAGGAGATAAGTGACGACTTTTCAATTTTAGAAAGTACAGTACAATTCAAATCTTGTTTCATGTGGCAAATGAGTAGAACATACCAATTCTCTCCAACAAATCAAGTGTAGAATTAATGGCCCACTGTGTGATATATGCTTGATACTTAAATATTGGCTTGAGAAATTTTCTCCATCTTTTCTTATTCTAAAAAATTAATGGCACATCACGTTTGAACTCATAAATATATTTCGGCCAACCTAGCTTCCTCCGTCCATCTAAGCCAAAAAAGAGTACTTCGCCATGGTGCGGTGATGAGATATAAAAGTACAGTGCAATTCAATATGCGTTTTATGATCATACATACATATTTTTATTTTTTCATACAATCTCAATGAATAGTTAAATTATGCGTTCTTTTCCCAAAAATGTGAAAGTATTGTACACTTTTTCAATGCAACATGCAAACGTCACATATTATTTATTGAAAAAATGAAAGTAAGTTAGATTATGAAATATTCAAATTTAATATAATGGCCGATGTTTTGACATACATCTCTTAAAAGTTAAGAAGGATGAGGTTTTGTTGAAATTGGAAGCAGCTTAGCTAGTCTCAATCCCAGGTGGTATGAAAAATTGGATGAACTTTTTGCTAAAATTTCATATATGTAACCCTAATTTGCTAGAATCTCTTGACCAATGAACTTGTTGAACTTTTTCCACTTCAACCAATTTAACACCAGTGAATAAGAAAATCAAAAATAATTTTACATGACTTGCCTTGGATTAATCTATCGAAACAAGTGTAAAATGATTCAATTCATCCACCCCTTTTTTATGGTTTGACCTACAATTAAACCATGAAACATGTTAGTTCGGTGTTGTAACGTTTGATACTTGAATATTGACTCGAAGCATTTTCTTTTCACTTTCTTATCATGAAAAATTAACAGCAATATCGGTCCTTAAACACTAGCCATATCCACATTATACCAACACCGTACCCCTCCAATTTTCCACACACAGAAAATAAAAAATGGCAAGAATATAATAATCAATCCACTTGAAAAATTGCAAGAATAAGTAGGAGATGGAATAGCATTTCTAGACCTTATTTTCTTAATTTCCTGCATATATAATATGAATACAATTTTACATTATTATATATGCCTCCCACCATTCATCATCCTCCATATACCTTCCCTACCAAAGGCTACCCAGTATCCTATAACAGCACGAAACGGGTGACACCAACAATTAAAAAAGTTCAATTTACAAATTATCAAATGAATATTCGAGTACCCTTATATATGAAGTAATGCTACGACCATAAGCTAGTTTCCCTCACTCAATCTTATATGCATGAAGAAACAGGCAGAAGTCAGAAGATGTTGAGTTACTAGTCTGAGTTGAATAATAAGGACTGCTATGATCACTGTCTATGCCGCCGTTGCCATCTCTGTCGTGATCGCTCTCTGATTCCGGCGGCCCTGGCTTGAAAATAAACAGCCCGTGCCCAGTCCCGGGGCTGCTGAAAAGCCAATCGTGCACGTCCCAGAAAACTTGCACCGGTTGCATGTTCACCTGCAAGGTCTGATTCCCTCTGAATTTCCACTGCAAATTCTTGACATGAATCAACACAATCCCATCTATGCTGATCCACATTTCGGGGTCTTTCGAGCCCGATGTTGAGCTCTCCACGACAATGTCATGCTCTTTTCTATTCTCATCAAACTTCACTCTTGTGGCAAAACTTTTCTTGGCAAACACGTTTTCTTTTTTGTAGTATAAAAGTGCCTCCACAAGGGCTGGTCTGGATTTTGTTCTCTTGTATGCCTTTTTCTTCATGTCTCCCAATAACAACACAATCTCCTGATCGCAAACAAGAGCAACATAAAAGTCAGAACAAGGTTCTGGGCCGCCGCCAAATTTTGCAGAACGAAGATCCCAATAAACCTCCACTTGATTCCCTTCGACCTCGAATGACTTATACCCTTTTTTGCTCCAAAAATGCCATGGCTTTAGGTCGATTTTGCACGTATAATGAAAACCGCCGTCTAAGCTATCAATCCGAATGCTGAGGGAATGGTTCATGAGGTTCTTACACCATATGATCGTCACCTTCCGCCAACATGTCGCAATATTTGCAAGGTAGACGCATGTCACCGTGCTTTGTGCGGTTTTCGTTGTCACAGGGTCTTCTGTGATCTTCTCTGCAAATGGTGGAGGCTCATGTAATGATTGACCTCGTATTGATCGACTCAAAGACTGCATCTTTGCAAATGTAGATGCTTTCTCGAAACAATAATGCTAGAGTCGCGAAATTTGTTCACCAAAACTGATGTATACTTCCGATAGGAGTTGATGATCGGAAAAAAAATACAATAATATCGCGGATTGAATAAGCATGCGGATTGAGGATGAGAAAGAGATGTGTAATGTTTAAGGTTTGATCGGTAGCAATTTAATCATCAAATATTTCTTGCCACCTCCATTTTCATGTGCTACACCAACAAATATGTAAAATTGTTGGGTTAGCAATCATTGAATAGGTTAGGTAAAAAGTTTCACATTGATTTTTTTTTTTCAATTGTGGATCTTGAAATCTAATGCTAATGAGAATGAAAAGGGATTGGATATTTGGAGCTTACAACTTAACCTCTTGGGATCTTTGGGATTCTCGGTGCCTTTGGATATGGCCTATTGACATGGATGGAGATTGATGAGAAACTGGTTTGACAGAGAGAGGAGAGAGAGAGAGAGGGGTTGGTGAAGAGAGAGAAAGAGAGAAATAGAAGAGGCAGTTTGTTTTGTGGAGAAAAACTCTCCATTTTAGAGGCTATAATCTAAGAGGTTGCCGAAACAGAAGGGTTAACAAAACAAGATCTTTTACTATTTCTATTTACAGCGTCCTCCTTATCAATTTGCTTTCTGTTTTTTGGTTTAGCTTTGGAGGAAACTAAGAAAAGTAAATTAAATCCGTCTATGGTACTTAGTAAAAAAATAAGGTATCGGTACAATTTAATTTGAACGTTAAACTGTTAGAACAAGAAGAAAACGTAGTACAACAATGGAGGATATGCTGCAATGACTAGTGTGAGAGAGAGAAAGAATGAGAGCAGAGAATATGACTCTGCAATTCTTCACACACGCACTGTTTTATTGCTCACAAAATGAGAGAGGAACATCTCTCTACACTTAACAGTTACACTTCCAAACTTTTGGCAGTATTCAAAATTACATCCAAGTAATCCTAGCCATCCATCTTACACCCTATGAGATGAAGACACATGTACACTCACTTACTTAAGAACTATGAGACTTAGATAAGAAAGCATACAACCAATTTAGCTAATCATCCTAGCAATATAAGCTAGAAATACAACTACCACATCAGATCACAATTTACACACTAACAGCCCCCTTTAAATTGTGAACTGATTTAACTCCAAGAAGTTCCCTCAGATAACTGAATTGTTCTCTTGCCAATGCCTTTGTAAAGATATCAGCAATTTGCTCTTTCGTAGGACAATGCAACAGCTCAATTACTCCTTGCTGCAATGCTTCCTTTATGAAATGGTATCTCCTGTTGATGTGCTTGGTCTTCTGATGAAAAATAGGATTTTTAGTGATAGCTATGGCTGAAGTATTATCACAATTCATTGGTGTTGCAACTGTTTGCATTTCACCAAAGTCCTCCAAAACAAATCTCAGCCATGTAGCCTGTGCAGTTGCTTCAGATGCACTAATGTACTCTGCTTCAGCTGTTGATAATGCAACACATTGTTGCTTGACTGAAGACCAAGAGAAAACTCCACTGCCAAAGGTAAATGCATACCCCGATGTACTTTTCATATCATCTTCTGAACCGCTCCAGTCACTGTCACAAAATCCCATTAAGATTGCTCCTTTGCCTTTCTTGTATTCCAAGCCAAAATCAAGAGTCCCTTGAACATATCTTAGTACTCTCTTTGCTGTCCCAAGGTGCTTGTTGGTTGGACAGTGCATAAATCGTGATAGCAGACATGCATCATACATTATATCAGGTCTAGTTGCTGTGAGATACAGCAAACTACCTACAATTTGTCTATATTGAGCTTCATCCGCAGTCCCACTTCCATCCTCTTTTCTCAATTTATCACTTGGAACCAATGGAGTACTCACTGACTTACAGTCTTGAAGTCCAAATTTCTTCAGTAGAGAAGAAGCATATTTTCTCTGATGAATGAAAATGTACTCCTCAGTTTGCATTACTCCCATACCAAGAAAGTGATGTAGGAGTCAAAGATCAGTCATTTCATATTTGAGCATCATATCAGATTTAAAGTCATCCATCAATTCTTGACAACTTCCAGTGTATATTATGTCATCAACATAGATAGACACTATAATCATTTCTGAACTTTTCCTCCACTTGGTATACAGAGTTGCTTCGCTAGTGCTTTTCTTAAACCCACAGAGTGTAAGATATGAGTCTATTTCACCATACCAGGCCCTTGGTGCCTGCTTCAGACCATATAGTGCTTTATGTAACCTGTAGACCTTATCTTCTTCCCCTTGTACAATAAATCCATCTGGCTGATCAACATACACTTCTTCTTCTAGTACACCATTCAAGAATGCCGATTTTACATCCAATTGAAACAACTTCCATTTGTTCTTTGCTGCCAGGGCAATTAATGTTCTGATTGTATCCAACCTTGCCACAGGTGCAAAGGTTTCATTATAATCAATTCCGGGCTTTTGTGCATAGCCTTTTGGAACAAGCCTAGCCTTGTTCTTTTGAACTGATCCATCCAAATTCAATTTAGTTTTGTACACCCACTTCACACCAATCACAGGTTTATCATATGGTCTTTTCACTAATTCCCAAGTCTTATTTTTCTCAATCATGCTGATTTCATCTTTCATAGCTTTCTTCCATGCTTCATCCTGTGCAGCTTCATAATAGGATTCTGGTTCAATAATACACACATGACATCTTTCATAGATTTCACTCAAACTTTTATATCTCAAAGGAGTATGATCAATCTGAGATGCAGAGATTGAGTCACTAGCACTTTCAGATTCAATGAGTGGAGAATCTGTAAGTTGAGTCTGAGAACCTTCAGCAACAGCTTGTTCCATGGAATCCGAATCCTCATCAGCTTCTTTCATCTCTGAAGATTCACTTGCAGCAATTGGAATGTACACTTCTTTGATCTTCTGTCTATCCTAATCCCATGTACCATTCTCATAAAAAATAACATCTCTTGAAATGATTACTTTCTGAGTTTCAGGATTAAACAATATGTACCCCTTTTCACAAGTGCCATATCCAATAAAAATACCAAGGACACTTGTTTCATCCAGCTTCTGTCTCAGGTTTCCAGGAATAAGGGAATAACCTAATGAGCCAAACACTCTCAAGTGTTGAATTCCAGGTTTTCTTCCACTGAATTTCTCAAAAGGTGTCACATTTTCCAATGCCTTTGTAGGACATCTATTGAGCAAGTAGACAGATGTAACTACAGCTTCACCCCAAAAACTATAAGGAAGATCTTTCTCATGAAGCATACACTTTGCCATCTCCACTATAGTTCTATTTTTTCTCTCTGCAACTCCATTCTGTTGTGGAGAGTATGCAACAGTAAGCTGCCTCTCCAAACCCAAAGCTTCACAAAACTGTTCAAATTCATTTGAGGTAAATTCTCCTCCTCTATCTGTTCTCAATTTCTTCACTGAAAAACCACTTTGAAGTTCCACCATAGCTTTGAATTTCTTGAATACATGAAAGACATCTGACTTGTGTCTCAAGAGATATATCCAGCACATCCTCGAATAGTCATCAATGAATGTAACAAAGTATCGATTTCCACTCATGGTTGGTGTTTGCATAGGGCCACACACATCTGAATGTATAAGTTCCAATGGCATTCTTGCTCTCCAGATTAACTCCCTTGGAAAGGACACTCTATGATTCTTACCAAATGCACATCCCTGACATACACCTTCACTGTCATGCATTTCAGGTAACCCAAGAACCATATCATGCTCCTGCAATTGTTGCAAACTTCTAAAATTCAGGTGACCAAACCGTTTATGCCACATTGTACTACTGATGCACATTGGTTTTCAGTACCAAGTGATCGTTTGACTTGAACACAAGTGGAAATCATCTATTTCCCTTTTGTTTCACACTAACCACCAAATTTGTCAGAGTTCTATCATCAAAAATATCCACCTTATAATCACCAAATAACAGAAAATACCCATGTTCAGTCATCTGCCCAACACTGAGAAGGTTTTCTGCAATTCCAGGTACCAACATAACTTCTCTTATGTACCTTTTTCCTTTATCCGTGTCAATGACCAAGGTTCCTTTGCCTTTCACATCAACAAGAACCCATGTGCCAACTTGCACTTTTGCCTTAATACTTCTATCAATTTCCATAAGTAACTCCTATCTGGAAGTCATGTGATTACTGCACGCACTGTCAATATACCAGGCATCACTCACAGCTTTCACTTCAGTTGATTGCTTGACCATGAAGAGATTTCCAGGTTCTCCCACCTTGTTTGTAAAATTCCTTTGCTCTCCCACTTTGTTTGCAAAATTCCCTTGCTGAGCATTTTTGTTTTGATTGCAGATCCTAGCAATATGACCAGGTTTTCCACACTTGTGACATTTAATCTTCCCTTTTAGCCAACATTCACCATAGTGAAGTTTATCACAATATTTGCATGCCCCTCCAGTGTTGTTAACTTCATTTCTTACACTTGGAGTAAACCTGTTAGTCCACTGATTCCCTTTGAACTTGAAGTTCTTCTGATATTTTGATCCACCAGTATTGGTATGTTGATTACCAAATTTACTATTCTTAGATGAGATATCTAAGCTAGCAAATACACGTTATGTGCTACTCTCTTCATGTCTGATTAATCTCAGTTCAAACCTTTTCAATATGGCAACCACATCTTGTGCATCAATTACATCAATATCTTTAGTATTTTCTATAACAGAAGCAATGCTATCATATGTTTTGGGTAAACTGATCAATAACTTTTGCACAATTCTCTGATTACTAAGATTTTCTCCATAGCTTCGCATCTGATTTATCAGATCAAACAACCTAGCTAAATATGCAGCTAGAGATTCACTTTCACTCATATGGGTATATTCAAAATCACGACGCAGACCTTGTAATTTCACAGATCGTACCTGTTTGTCCCTTACATACTCTTGCTTCAGAATATCCCAAGCTTCTTTCGCAGTTTCCAAGGTTGCAATGCGTGGAAAAATTTGATCCGATACGGCTCCCTGAATGATTCCAAGAGCCCTTGCATCCTTGACCAGATTTTCACTCCGCAACTTCGTTTCCACCTCAGTGAGTTCTCCTTCCCCTTTCGCTGAAGTGGTAAAACCTTTTTCAACAATATTCCATAACTCGTGAGATCGAAAGATTGTTTTCATTCGAATCTGCCAGAAATCGAAATTTTCTCCGTTGAACACCGGAGCTCGAAGCTCCCCTCCACCAGATCCAGCCATGTTAGACTTAGATCACACCTCTCTCTACTATTTTCTTTGCAACGATGTGTTGCAAACACTTGCTCACTATCTCTCACAGAATCGACGCCCAGAGATTCAGACCCAACAAGGCTCTGAGGCCATGTTAGAACAAGAAGAAAACGTAGTACAACAATGGAGGATATGCTGCAATGACTAGAGTGAGAGAGAGAAAGAATGAGAGCAGAGAATATGACTCTGCAATTCTTCACACACGCACTGTTTTATTGCTCAC